AGGACTCATCCAAGCAGTCACTGCAGGGTCAGTAATGACTGAGCGCAGACCAAAAAAAAAAAAAAGCTTTACATTACATGTAACAGAAGTCTTACTTGGGCAAGAAGGGAGAGCAAAATATGAAGTCTCAAAAAGACATTTCTTTAATGTGTGCTGTGTTATACAACAAAGGATGCTTTTTTTCTTATTGTTTGCTACGTGAAGCAACTTTAAACTACAAAAAAAAATCATTAGACATCACAGACTGCATCAAAATTAATCATATTTTTATCATTACTACATTTAAAATCTTTAAATAATTGAACCTAAGATATCAATTTCAGTTGGATAATTTTTTCTTATAAAAAGTCTTAAACTTTTTTTTAAAGTCTTAAACTATAATGCCATCTTACCCTTCTACAGATTCCTTTTAGTCTTTAAAAAGTTTATTATATATTGCAGAGCCTGCTTTTTTTAAATAAGGCATTGTTAATTGTATACATTTTACCAAATAGTATGTCACATGTTCAAGCTGATCACATTTATTACTCTCATAGGTCCCTTTCAACACTAGGTTTGGTTATCTCATCACTTGCAGACCAAGCAGCAGGAAAGGGGAAAAATAAATTTGTGCCTTACCGAGACTCTGTACTCACTTGGCTTCTCAAGGTAAAACATAGCCATATTCTGTACTTACTTAAAAATGGAAATATCACTTATTGCCCTCATGTCACCTTGCACACAAGTATACAAACTTCAGCATATTTAATAAAAAATGAGAAATACTGCAATAAGATCTCTTCCTGGGTTTGTATTTTTCCTTTATGAACATTGCAACAAAACTTGTCATTCTGATTTTTACAGTCATTTCTAATGCTGAATGCTAAAAATGTCTAGGGGTGAGTAGATCAGTTGCAGCTGAAAGAGACTTTGAAATTATGTCTGTTAAGAAGAAATAATAGATTTAAGTCATAAGAATAATTTTGTTTTACACATTTTATCCATTCCCTAATAAACCTTTTAGGACAACTTGGGAGGAAATAGCCAAACAGCCATGATAGCTACAATCAGTCCAGCAGCTGATAATTATGAAGAAACACTGTCTACGCTGAGATACGCAGATAGAGCTAAAAGAATAGTAAATCATGCTATAGTGAATGAGGATCCCAATGCCAGGGTGATTCGAGAACTACGTGAAGAAGTAGAGAAGCTGAAAGAGCAACTTTCTCAGGCAGAGGTAAAGCAGATGGAAATTTTATTTTATCCAGTTATATTTATTAGATGAGTAAAAAGGAAATAAGAAAAGGGGACAAATAGGTTTGCGTTTTGAAATTCATCTAGACTAGTTTAATCCTTTTGAATTTTCTATAAACTTTGTATCAGAGAAGGATTTGGTTGAAGGTTGCTGTTTTGAAGCTCTGATGGAAAAGAAAAGAGAGAAATATAACTCATCATTTCTTCTGTGATTCTGTGCAAGAGAATGAAGAGTAATGGGTGCAGTTTACAAATATACCCTGAAAAAGTGATTTGGTTTGGAATGTTTGTGCTCTCTCTTCTCCAGTTTATTTAATTATAATTTTGAAATGAAATCATTTTCTATCACTCAGTCTGGAATGTTGAGAAGGTTGTAACTGGTGTATTTTGAATATTAAAGGCTATGAAAGCACCAGAATTAAAGGAAAAATTGGAGGAATCTGAAAAACTAATAAAAGAACTAACCATCACCTGGGAAGAGAAATTAAGAAAAACTGAGGAAATTGCACAGGTATTTATGTATTTTCTGTAGTATTTATGGTAAAATTGCATAACTTTATATATGTAGTTTAATTGAGATGGATTAAATATATATTTCTAAACATGCTTCAGCTGCAACACATTTTTAATTTTTGTAGCAATGTACGTTAATGTTATAGAGCCAACACGCAGTGTGAAAACTTTTGCTGGGGTTGAAGAGGCTTTGAGGCATATATATGCTATATATAGTCACAGTATACCGAAGTCAAGTATTTCTTATTGTAACAGATAAATGCAACTGTTCATTTTATGCTGTATTAAAATTAGTATCTGTGGGCATGAGTTCTTAAAGAAAAGCTGAGCAGTTCTAGAGTTTCTACACATTTATATGTTGCACAGTTTGGCCCGTTTCATATAAGTATTTAAATGTGTGTGATGCTTCCCTCCATATCAAATATAAATTCTAAAATAATGGAAGCCAACAGTTGTTAGAGTTCATCATTACTTATCTGTTCATTGGCACCACTATAATGTTAAGAAATTGTAGTTTATTGTGAAGGAATATGGAAGATTTGGGCTTTTTCTTACTTTTTTTTTTAAAGTAATTTTATTAAAAATTCTAACAATAAAAACTAATACAAACTAATTTTTTTTTGTATTTGATATCCCCTTTAATTATTAAGACAAAAGCTGGTTTCTTTGGGTCCAGTGTAACAGCTTTTTCTATGTCATTCTTGTAGCCTGTTATTTGTAAATCCATTTTCAAATCAGTCTCGATCTGGTCTGGTAGAACTTGTACCTCTTTGCTAACATCTTTTAAACACAGTCTATCTGTAGAGGCAGACACTATTAAAATTAACTTCTGGGTCCATTATTCAAAAATAGCCTTCAGTAGGTCCAATGTTAAAATATTTTGCTTCATTCTGTATTTTTAAGTCAAGTTTGCATGTTATTCTTTAATTATAATCTTTAATTCCCTCTAGTGTCCAATTTTTAAAATCTTACCTTATTATGTTTTTTTTAAATTCAAAGCAAAAGCATTTTCCCATGGGAAGGATTCTTTATAATTAATTCCAAAATCTTATTTCAAATTTATCTGAACCTTAGTCCATTTGTAACTTTCTAAAATCAAAGTTTTAATCAGCTTTTTGCTGTTTTAAATTCAAAGCAAAAGCATTTTCCCATGGGAAGGATTCTTTATAATTAATTCCAAAATCTTATTTCAAATTTATCTGAACCTTAGTCCATTTGTAACTTTCTAAAATCAAAGTTTTAATCAGCTTTTTGCTGTTTATTCCAAAAAAATATATATTTTTTCTTAAACTTGTAGTTAAAACTTCTTTCACTAAGGATTGAAGGAAACTCAGCCAGTGCTGTAAAACTTGTTGAGCCAAAGGTTCCTAATAGATGAAAAGCAGTTAACAAGCAATTTCTGAAAGTGATTAGAAAAGGAAGTATGCAAACTTAGTGTCCTTTCAAAGGTGCCAATGGTGGTTTGAGCAAGATAGCTATTCCCTCATCTCCCAGAGCTGTAAACCCGATGGAGAGTTTTATATAGTTTCTTTAGTTTCAGCTTCATTAATCTTTGATCAGAAGATTATGGATAAAATAATGATAGGAAACACTTGTATGCTTGTGTAACTTCTCATTTGTTCTAAGTTAATTTCTTTAGCTAGGTTCATATTGATGTTAGCTTTTCTTTTCTATCTATTACTGACTTTAGAGAACAGTGATTCTGCTCATAAAGTGTGTGTGTGTGTGTGTGATAATAGAACTATACCAAAAAATGTTCTGATCCAACATGGAAATGATATAGTATCTTACCCAGTGCCCACTACTGTATTGCATAAACTATTGTATAAACATTGATAGAAAAGTACTAGCAGCTATATTTCTTCCACTTGTGATTCTTTGGACACAGTCCATAAATATTTAAATTAGTTGTCATGAAGATAATTACAGCTGTTAAAGTACAAAGTTTCTATGAATTTTGCAGGAAAGACAAAAGCAGTTAGAGAGTATGGGTATTTCTCTTGAATCTTCGGGCATCAAGATGGGAGAAGACAAGTGCTATCTGGTGAATTTAAATGCTGATCCTGCGCTCAACGAATTATTAGTTTATTATTTAAAGGTAAAAAAAAATCCATACTTCCAAATACTTTAAAGCTTCCTTTTATTGAAGTTTGTGGAACAGGATGTTGAAAAAATAGCAAGCTTACTATGCCTACTTCATTCAGCAAATCTTTTATTTTGAAAGTGCGGGTCATCTACCTACACACCAGTCAGCATTTAATGAAACCCTTGTAACAGGCATAGGGAACAGCTAGCATATGAAGCTAGATTGGCACCTGATTGGCAAAGACTTCAAAATGGCTCTTTCTGACACATTTCCCCTCAGAATGGGTGAGGCATGGAGGAACTAAACAGAGAAAGTTAAATGAGTTTAAGGCAGTGCTCTGTAGAAAGATGCAATATTTCCCATTTCAGGTAGTAATATTTTCACTTTGCAGTAACTATAAACATAGGAGTTTAGATTAGATTGCACATACATTGTAATCTATAACTCTTTACTTAGGATGATAGAGGCGGCAGATTTTATTTTATTTTCACTCTATTTGTCTTAAGCAGGACCACACTAGGGTTGGCGCGGATACCTCACAGGACATACAGCTATTTGGGATAGGAATTCAACCAGAACATTGTGAGATAGACATCGCACTAGATGGAGAAGTTTCTCTCTCACCAAAAGAAAATGCAAGGTAAGGGCATCAGCACGAATTGGGACCCTTCGTAATTTAAACAAAAGAACCTTGCATTAACAAAGAGAGGAAGACACTGTAAACTTGCGTAAACTTTGAAAGCTACATTTTATTCTAGCTAGTACTGTATTGAGCCTGTTCCTGACTTCTTCCTTCAGAAAAACTTAACAGCATGCGTACATTTCGCAACGTTTGTGCCTAATTGTTCCAAGTAGTTCTGAGGTTAAGAGTCTTGCTTACTTAACATCATGCCGATATTAGTATGGGGTTGAGTGCTGATTTAATTGTGTTCACCTACACATGTAGCATTAGTTATACTTTTGACAGTTTTTAAAGCCAAAAACAAAGCAGGAAAATGTTTTTCAGTAAGATTTTAGTTAGTGGAATTGCATTAGAGAGATTTTACATAAGTATTCTTACTCTTTAAACTAGGGAAGGCCAGCTGTTTGTAAACATGTAAATATATAGAAAAGTAGTTTCACTGTCGTTTTTGAAAGATCTGAGTCTGTTACACTGAAATGTTCAAGGCTTAACAATACAAAATTCCAAACAGATGGTATTCAGTGTTATGACAGAATTGCACTGTGAGGAATTAGTCATTTTGACTGGCAAGAACAAAGAGGCATGTCACTGGAAAAAATGTATAACTAAATAAACTTTGTTTAATTTGTGTTTCATCCAAGATTTCTAAATAGGCACAAACTACATTACAAAGTTAAAACTGACAATAAATTAAGTCAGTTCATTGTTGATTCTTATGGAAAAATTAACTACTTTGTGATTGGAAAATGAATTTAAAATGAGGAAGTTTTTTACAGTTGAAGTACTGAAGATTATTTATATTGTAAGCAATGAAATAAATGGATCATGTCTAAATACTACCTGCTTGAGAAAATTGAGATGGAAAATTAATTATTTTCCTGGTTTATGTGCCAATGTTTATGAGCAGAGCGGAATGTTATACAAAAGCTACTTTTCTAAATTATATTCCAAACTGAGAATAAAAGGTATATTTTGCTTCTTTGGTTTATATGGGAATAAACTTTATTTTCACAGAGTAACCACATATTGGAAGAATTCATATTGCTGTTGAAGTGACTTAAGTACATGTCTAATTAAGGAGATTTAAGCTAGATTTCTGCAGTTGGCTTGCAGTAAACAGCCTGTGACCCAGTTACTTAAATATATGCATTGCATTGGCTATTCCCCCATTTTTTACGACAGGGATTTACTGCAACAAGTATGTTTTTGTCAGTAAGAATTAAAGTCTTAATTAAATCCTTAATGATTTAACACTGAATCCAAAGTTGATATTTTTATTTCATTCATCTTTGTATTAATGAATCAAGATAAACAAACAATCCTCTGTATGCTAAGGAAATGGGGAACTAATCTGTTGACAATATTTATCGCAAAACTGGAATATACAAGCTATAAAGAAAAATATCTATCTGATTAGTTTGCAAAATGTAAAATACAGAAAGATATGAGTAGTAAAAAACAGTAATAGATAAAATGGTAGTCTCTGTTGGGTGCTGCTCATTATCAAGTAATGCTAGTTGTAATTATAAGAGCTCATTAGAACTTCATATAATATTCAACAATATTCATTTAACCATCAACACTCAGGTTCAGATGGAGTGTCTGCTCTCTGAGCTTCTCATGTCTTTCTAGGTCTCTTTTCAATATGGAGGTGAGAGGCCTCATGGAGAAGTCTCGTATGATTCTACTATGGGATGTGCAAGGCCGTAGTTTATACCATCAGGTCATATGTATGCCAGAGATCATTAGTCTTTTGTTCTTCAGGACTGCATTTGTCCATGTATACATCCACGCACAGATTCTGCCCCACAGATGCATGTGTATAAGTCCCTATCTCCACTCCAGTGCAGCCTTCACTTTGGGGTGGGGGGTTGGAAGGAGCCTTCTATACACTCCAGCAAGAGCAGAAATGTTAGGGTTCAGGGGAGTCCTGGTTAAGATATTCTCTAGGTAGCTCCATGGAAGTTCTTGCCCACTCATTTCCACCCCACATGTGGCTCACCAGATGAGCTAAGCAGTTTTCTGGTTTTCAGCTTTTCACTTTTCTCTCTGCTGCAGCTACATGTGCTACAACAGTTTGCTGGGTTTAGAGTAGATATTCACATGCCATTTTAAACTATGCTGTATTTCTCTAGCATCAAATCAAACTGCTTAGCTGATGTCTTGGGGCATGCAGCCTATAAAGACACTACAGCAGTGAGAGATTTGTCACCTTTGTGTTCTATTACACTTAGTGGCCACATACTTGTATTTAGCCTATCAAGCTGTGAGCTGCATCAGTGTACTTTAATATCATAGTGACCCAGCAGCGATTTGAAACGGCTGGTCAATCCAGCACTTACTAAATATAGCTTGTCTGAGGGGACATTTGGAACCCTTCCCAGATTGTTGGGGAATGAGGGCAAATTCACAGCCAAAAGGCAGTGATTATCCACTCTTTCACTAAAGGGCAAAAGAGATGGAAGATACATGACCAGGCTTCTGTTTCCCCCATAGCAAGAAGTAGCAGGTGTTTTGATTGGTGGGACGCAGAACATACCCATCCTGCTTGATCTTACAGACTAGAATAATTCTCTGGTACTGGAATTTGCTGAAGTACCCCACAATAGAGTATGACAGCTTGAATACTAAAGAATGATTTTAGTCTTATTAATGTGTTTTATTTTTCAGATCATGTGTAAATGGCACACTGGTGTGTTCTGTAACGCAGCTGTGGCATGGAGATAGAATCTTATGGGGCAACAACCACTTTTTTAGGTATTAGTTTTTAATGTTCCACAGTAGTTCAGTAGTAATACTAGGTGGCAGTACCTAGGCAACCGTTGTCTGATGTCATGTCATAAGCATGAGAAGAACTGACTTCATATTTCATACTTCATATCATTTCATACTGTGACAACTATATTGAAGAGAATGTGAAATTAATTCAGTCTAAATTCAGTTAGGATGCAGTTGGTTATTGCTTTTAATATTCAGCAACATCTTGATGGCAAAATGCAATGAATGTCACTTTGGCAAATAAGTCATCGGTTTTATAATATAACAATCATTTAATTTGTACTCTTTTTTAAAATCACATTTTATCACATTTACCATTGGTACTACGAAGAATGACACTTGAATACAGTGGTTCTTAAAATGTTTGACCCAAATACCCCTTTTCCCAGACTTGAATAATGTCATTACCCCCACAAAAAAACCCTAATCTCTGTTGCTTTATACAAGCATCTCAACAGCAGCAGTCCCAAACTGGATCCTTGAGTCGCAACAAGTAATTACAAATTGCTCCATTACCCCCAGGATGTGCCCAAATTACCTCCGTAGGGGGTTATTACCCCCAGTTTAAGAATCACTACCTTAATACATCCTGGCTTCCTGTTAGTGCAAGGCTGCCTTCCATAAGTGATCCCCTAGCAACAGTTTAGTGAAGCTTCAAGGCCTTGATGGGCAGCTAGCAGTATACATTTGTATTCACATTTTGTAGGATGAGCAAGGACTATAATCACATTTTTTGCTTCCTTAGTTTTGGAGCAAGGTTTTATCTCTTCCCTTCTTGTCCCCAATTCCTTCATTGTATAAAGTTTTTATTAAAAAATCATGTGTATTAAAAAAAATCATCCTTTTTATTTTTCATATAGAATTAATCTTCCTAAGAGAAAGCGTCGAGATTGGTTTAAAGACTCTGAAAAGGAAATGATGCTAGCAGAACATGATCTAGATGCAGCTAGCGAAGCTTCTTCAGAACCAGACTATAACTATGAATTTGCACAGATGGAAGTTATAATGAAAACGCTGAACAGCAATGGTGAGACAACGATTGTTCAGGGCTGCTGAGACCAAACAAGAGTAGACAGGCTTCTGTTGTCTTTATACATAGCAACAAAAAACATATAATTTTTCTGTATAATCAATAATTGTAGCAATTTTCTGTAAATAGATGTTCTAACTTTCTAATGTTCTAATCGAGTACATTTTCCCAAGGTTGTTTTTATTCTGATATATTGAGCCTAAATATATTTACTGAAAGTTTTATGGGTTTATCTCCAGTTAATTACATTTTGACATTCAATCTTTGTTGTGCATTTTACCTTTATAGAATGTATACTTTTTTTTAAGCACATACAATGTTTGTATCATGTCCTTTATTCCACCTTAAATCACTGTAGCTATAAGAATGTGTGAAAATTTTCTGTTAAAAAACAACAGAGCCAAACTATCCAAAAGGCATATTGGGGTAATATGTTAATTAGGTCAATGCATAGGGTTGTAAAGCCCTATGAGGATTTGGGGTTTTCATAAAGTTATAATGGTATATTAAACTTACCTGTTGGAAATGATTTCTAAAATGAAGTGGATCCCTTTCTGCCTAGATCCATTACAAAATGTGGTCCAGGTGTTGGAGAAACAATATTTGGAAGAAAAACGTAGTGCTTTGGAGGAGCAGCGGATAATGTATGAGCGTGAGCTGGAGCAGCTCCGGCAACAGCTTTCTCCAGAAAGGCGTTATCAGCAGTGTGGTGACAGACTTTCAGATGCTGCCCAGACTGTTCAGCAGAAAGTGAACTTCTGGTCAGAAGAGAGGTAGGAATATTGGTAATTTAAACCACAAGTAGCTGAGAGAGTAAGCTATAGAGCAAAAATTCTTGCAATCATTCTGAATCAGTAGTGATATGAAATCTGAGCCAGTTAAGTTGTTCACATTCTGTGTCTTTGAGGCCTTCAATATATTTAACTGGTTATTTTTCATGATCTCCTTTCTAACTATTGTGTAGCCCACTTTACTAAGAGACTGCACCCGTCTTGACTCATTTTACAGGTAGTCCTTGCTTAACGATAGTAAGTGGGACTGGCAGCTCCGTTGCTAAGCGATGCGGTTGTAAAGCACGTGACCACACTGATTTACGATGGCAGTTGCAGCAGTTCCAGTAGCTGTCATTAGGCGAATCCCACACAGTCACAGCGTCTGGTCACGTGATCATCATTTGTGACCTCCTGCTAGCTTCCCCATTGACTTTGCTTGTTGGAAGCTGCAGGGAATGTCACAAATGGTGATCACATGACCATGGGATGCTGCAACCATCATAATTGTGAGCTAGCTGTCAAGTGCCTGAATCGTGATCACATGACTAGAGGGATGCTGCAACGGCTGCAACTATGAGGAACAGTTGTAAGTCCCTTCTTCAGAGCCATCATATCTTTGAACAGTTGCTGAACAAGTGGTCACTGAACTAGGACTACCTGTATCATGTCATACTAACATTTAAAACATTTTATCCAAATTTGGTGGATAATCTGGGCGGACTTTCTTGGTTGGAAATCATTGAATAAAAGCAGCAGATTAAATATTTGTTTAAAAATAGAAAATAATGCTCTTGGGTTTATCACAAGGCTCTATTTTGCCTTGAAGCAGTTTTTTGAGTGTGTTATTTGTAAAACAATAAAATATAGATTCTGTATGCAATATTACATAGTTTAATGCATGTTATGGTTCCACAAATCAAATAATCTAGATTACAGCTGCCAGGAAAACGTGGTTATATATAATGGCCCTTAAAATACCTATAAAGATGGATTAATTTATTTATGTGATTTGTTTGAATATATAATTATAAATTTTACATACATTAACATTCATACTGTTATGCTTTCCTGATGCATGACTATTCTGGTTTTCTTTATCAGAACCCTAAATCCGGTGACCAAATTCATCCTTTTTCATTGAGGAAAAATAATGTACTAATCTCAATAGCATTGTACTAATATCAGAAACTAGTTTTCTGATTACATTTTTTGATATACAGTATTTATGTCTTGTTTCCCTCGTAGGGATGAATTATTTCGACAAAGCTTGGCAAAACTAAGAGAACAAATAGTTAAGGCCAATGCATTAGTGAGGGAAGCCAACTTTTTGGCTGAAGAAATGAGCAAGCTAACAGATTATCAAGTCACACTTCAGATCCCTGCTGCTAACTTGAGTGCCAACAGAAAGGTAAGAAAATCACTGACAGAAACTATTTTATGTAAAATGTTGAAAAGTCCACAATCATTTTGTGTTCAAGGTAAATTTAGAGGCTGATTTTGTGCATGAAGTAGACAAAATGAGAATGAGAATAGTTGTATAACCAGAATAAACAGCTTCTTTCATTTTTGTCTCTGTAACCTGTACTGTGCCTGTACAAAACAGTATAAATAGAGATTCACACATGTACTGTATTGAAGTACTGAAGTGTTCACAGGTAATCTCAGTTGCACAAAATTAAACTAAGATGTTGGTGATCATTATTAGTTCACATTTGATAAGACAATGTCTTGTATATATAGTGAGAGCACATATCAGTTCCTTTAAGGAGTACATCTGGGATATATAGAACATAGAACATAGAATATAAGCTTTCCTTTTGTGTGCCAGCTTTCCCCATCCAGGGAGATTCTGGTATGGTCATGCAAAAAAGACTGAGAAAACTGTACTGTATTTTGCCTGGATGTTTGGCTCCCCTAACAAATAGCTGACTGTGATGCGTGCAGTGAAGTGGATGTAACCATGAAAGATTATGCCAGAATAAAGGATTCTTTGTTGATTGCGGTACATTCAATAATGGAGATTTGTATTCATGCATGAATCTTAAAACTATGTTTAACTACAGTTATTCCATGTGATTAATTTTGAAAACATAGAACAGTACTTCAAATATTTTTTTAAAAAAAGAAATGTATATAATACTGAGCATCTGAAAAACATGTTCTTAAAATGCATTTTAACCACTGAACTTTGATGTTTTAATAATTTAATCTTAAGTATTAATATTAATGTTATATTATTGTTAAACATTTAATATTATGGTAATATTATATTAATTAAATATAAATGATTTCATCAAAATTAATTAAAATAATAATTAATGTATTATTTTATTACTAAGGATGTTTTAATGGTTGATTCATGATTATACGTCACCAAAATACCTTGGCAGATTTTGGCAGTATACAAATTAAATAAAATTTTTGTGTTTTGTTATTCAGAGGGGAGCAATTGTAAGTGAACCAGCTATTCAGGTAAAAAGAAAAGGAAAAAGTACTCAGGTGTGGACCATTGAGAAGCTAGAAAACAAATTAATTGACATGAGAGAGTTATATCAAGATTGGAAAGAGAGATTTCAGGAGGTATTTAACTGTTCTTTCCAATTTCAGATTTATAAAATTATGCTTTCATTAGCCCCCATATAGACTCCATTGCCTTATTCATTTTTATGTTAGTATATTCTAGTCCACTGTGCTATCCATGTTACATGGTTAGAACTCTGTAATATAGTTCCTTTTGCTGATTTTTTTGGGCATTATAATGTAAGATACATTGCCTGCATAACAATAAGAAATAAGGAAGGATTATTATTATGTTTTATTATTACTTATTTACATTTCTATCCTGTCTTTCACTGATAAAATGATCCAAATTTCTACCTTGAGTCCTCTGTTTGGAAGAGAATAGAGATTGTTTGAAGTCTTTATTCTTTCTATTTTAAAGATAAATAAACTGTTGGTCCTCAAAATGGTTTGTTTTTAACTCATATAATTTTTTTGTTGAAAATAATATGTACATTCCTGCTGCTTAATATGATAAATAATATATTACAAAATGTAGCTCATCATTTCCATGTTGAATCATTCTGGTAAACTGTTTATGCCTTTGCAATCCATATCTTCTTTTAAAAAAATAGATGAAAAAACTCACAGGAAAAAGAGGTGACCCTTTCTATGAAGCACAAGAAAATCACAATTTAATTGGTGTAGCAAATGTCTTTTTGGAGTGCCTTTTCTGTGATGTAAAGCTTCAGTATGCAGTACCAATAATTAGTCAACAAGGGGAGGTAAGGTTTAATCCATAATAAATATTGCACTTTGCTTGTGAAGGAGTATCTTTGTTATAAATGTACATCCTTACCCTTTTAGCTTCTGGAGGGCCGTGAAGACCTGGCTCTTCCCCCAAGCATTGGGCTAGGATGGGAGTTGAGCTGGAAGGCTGATTGGTCTGGTGTCCAGGGGGAGGGGTACTTCCATTTTTGTCTTTGTTTTTATGAATTGTTGTGAACCACCTAAAATCATTATATAAGATAAGTAGCCTTATAGGTCCTGTGAATGAATGAATGAATGAATGAATGAATGAATGAATGAATGAATGAATGACAAATAATGGCTTATGTTATGTATAGCACAATTGGAATTGCCATCTGCTGTGTGCCTGTTTCTCTTCCTTTATTTGGTGATGCTGCTGTTTGAAGTCTTTATTAGCAATGGCTTGGAAAATGCAAAGGATGTGGCTTAAAGGAAAAAAATGTCAGAGACAGTACATTGTTGATCTGTAGGGGTGAAAGCCTTAGAAAAAGAAAAATCATCCACTGAGATCAACAAATCAACAGGACATCTGTGGAACATATGGAAGACAACCAACTAAAGTTCATATACTGACAGCCAAATACAGTGGTACCTCTACTTACGAATGCCCCTACTTACAAAATTTTCAAGATACGATCAGCTCCAGCCCCAAAAATGTACCTCTACTTACGAACGCCCCTACTTACAAAATTTTCAAGATACGATCAGCTCCAGCCCCAAAAATATACCTCTACTTACGACCTCCCCTACTTACAAAATTTTCAAGATACGATCAGCTCCAGCCCCAAAAAT